TGATTATATTTATCTGGCTATAGAAACGGGTGTATGAGTATTAAGCAATTCGAATGAAATTGCTCGGACGCAAATTCAGATCAAATTAATTACTCACTTTTTGAAGTCGGTTAAATAAGAACAAAATGAGTCGTTTGGCATAATAATTCAAATAACTTTAACAAAACTAATGAATTATATCTCTAAACCTTTCTCGTGAAATACTTCATATTTTTATAAAAAATTGATGCGAATCGGTCATCCATCAGCATAACAGCCTCTGTCAAAATTAGCCAAAGTAACAAAAGACTTTCAATGTCTAAAGTGACACTTTGAATAATTTGTGGATATTGTATACCATGCTGATGTCATCAAATATGAAGTTAAGATGCCATAAGGGGTAATCCATAAATTACGTCACACGATTTTCATAATTTTTTTGCCCCTTCCCCCGTCCTCGTCACAGTTGGTCACATTTATAAGACCCTCTCCCCCCTCCTAGTGTGATGTCACATATTTTGGCAAGGTTTTTGTAAAGTAATAGTTTAAAGTTCGTGTTTTAAGATTTAGATTATAATAGATTTTGAAATGTGACGTCACGAAATTACGGGGCCCTCGCACCCCCTTGTCACACAATGTCACACTTCGTCGACCCCCTCCCTCCCCCTTGAAGTGTGACGTAATTTATGGATGACCCCTAAGCAGCGTGATGTGAGAGAAAGATGAGGTGCAAGCTTGAAAGCATCGACTCGTAAACACAAATGGCACTCTAAAGAAAATCTCGTAGATTTCTTGACACAATATTCCTTAGCACGATCGATACAACAATTAATTTTAGTGTATATTTTCTGTTCAAAGGTTCAAAATTACCATTAAAGTTAAGGTTATATCAAATTTGACGATAACGTTCATGCTGGCTTTATTATTTGAGTGAGGAATGCGGTGTACTATCCTCATTCTTGGCATAGTAAAACAATAATTTTAACCAGCGAAGCTTGGAACGTTATTTTTTATAAATCAATTTATGACGCCATTGCCAAATGGTATTACTCATTATTAACGGTACTTCAACATGTTTGTTATTGTTAAAGTAAGTGCAACTCATAGAGACTCTAGTGACATTTAATAATATAGCGATAATGAGTGAAACACATAATTTAGAATGAGAAAATTTTACTTTACCGTTTAAGTTACATATTTTTATGAAACACTAATCAACGCTCGAGACCTTTCTGTGGTCTGTGCTTGAAACAAGTGTCAAAATGGGGTTTCATTTCGAAGATCATTGTCCCAAACGTCATAAATTCTAGAATCTAATGACGCAACCATTCAAACTAATTTAACTTCAAGTCTGTTGAACAACTTTGTCTTCTATTATTTAATTTCTTCACAATTACGAAGTCGGTTTGCACATCCAGTTTCAAGGTGTAGCTCAGATGTCCCATGATCGGTTCCTAGTCGGATCAATGTGAAAAATTCAAAACAATGTAGAAAATGAAGTCTCGCAGGGCTTAGTAACAATGAATATCAAATAAATATTTACATTGCTTTAGCATTTGTTTATTATTTCTAGAATTCAGCCGTGACTTTACTCGTGAGGATTACATGATTTTTAAAATCAAATCTCCATTTAACCTAGGTACTTAGTTGTTGAAACTGAAATATCCTTTCTTAACGAATATCTACGTCATAATAACTCGTCATCATCACCAGCCCATGTAATATCCCCACTGCTAGGGCACAGGTCTTCCATATTGATGAAATCGAATACAATAGGGAGAATGGGCTTTGACCCATGTTGTCGCAGTGCGGATTGGTAGGTCTTAATGACTATAAGTGCAGCCGGGACTAACGACTTGCCTTTTTTGACTTATTAACTAATAACCACCACCCATCCTATGAGAAGTTGGCTTTACAACCATATCGCAGACTGAACGCGCTCGGCATAACTAATTAGTCTGCAAAATTTTAGCTCGATCCGCTGTTCGTTGATAGATCAGACAGTTAGTCAGTCACTTTTGTCTATTATAAATATATTAACTGTTTTCCCGATACTTTGCCTGCATAAATTAAAGCCTTTATCACCCGCGTCTAATGTAGCTTCCCGTAGGTGAAAGATTTTCTAAAGTCGGCACGGTAGTTACGGAGCCTCAATGCAAACAAACAAAGCTTTCCTCTCTCGTACCTACTAATATCAATTTCAGAATATCGACAGAAGCCCCTGATCGGTTATTCTCCTTCGTAAATATTCTAATGATTGAACTTTTCGAGAGTGATATTGACGAAATTTTTTCACTTCCAATCTGAATTAATTTTCTATCACAGATCACAAAGTTTTTGGCACAATACAGCCATCAGTTGTCTGATATAACTTTTTGAATTCGCCGATAGCTGTATAGTACGCGAATAATGTTTTAATTAATAAATTTGAATTGCCTATACTCTGACAAAAAAAACGTGACAAAAATTATTATTTATTTGGCTTTTTCACCCAGGCCCTAATTCTACCAAATTAGCGCGATTATGGTGAAAGAATTACAGGCACAGTTCTTTTACAAGATCACAAAATAACAAACATACCTATCACCATTGTGAAGAAGACGTTACATTAATATCACTGGACTTATTAAAGCCTATTATGCTGAATGGTTTTCATTTGGATCTCACTAATAAAAAGAACAAAAACGATAAACATTGACGTGTATAATTCATCATCGGCTTAGCATCAGCGGCGCTAGAGCGGATGGTAGGGCCCTAACGATGGCAGATGCAGACGAGGCAAAGAGCTTAACGTGCCTAAGCACGGAGGAGGATAGTCAATTTTTGGTCACCCATTCTATGACCGACCCCCGCTAAGTTTGCTTAATTTCCACATTGCAAACTGATTGCACTAACCACTGCGCTAACGAGCTTCTCTGTGGTGTGTATAATTCATCGAGTTTAATTGTTTATCAATTATTATATATCAGTTTAAAATTATGGCATTTCTTCTACTCACACTTTGTTTATTGAGTGCCGTCTAATTGGAAATTTAATTAAATCTCCGCAATAGGACTCTGGGGATCAGCTGCCTTACCACGCAGTTCGATTGGCTTCGATTGGATAGGCATTCGAAGTTGTCGCGTAAGTTCGTTAGTTTATAAGTTGGATGAATGATACTTGATAACTTCATTTCGTTCAAGCCGATGCCAATCAAAATTAAGTGGAAAATCAGCAAAAATGTATAAATAACACGTTACTTACCTACAGATCATAACTATAATTGTATAAATGTATTCACGCAATGCAATTTCATGTTTCTTTTTCTAAAATGGTATCTTCATCAAAAATATGAACATTAACTTTCCCCACAAATCCTCTTCATTGATGGCCCAAGAGCTTATAGTAATAACTTAAGAGTGTGTCATGTGTCGTATGCTGCCAAATTTATGGACAGTGCTAAAGATAATCTTAAGTGCAAGCCCAAGTGTTTCTACGGCATGGCCGCTAGATCAACTTATCACCCAATAATACGAGTATATTGAACATTTACAATCCTTGTTTTTCGCGAATTGAAAATAAAATTGGATTCCATTTCTATACTTTGTCTTTGTCTGTCTAACGAGTGACAGTGACATATACTTAATAATGTACAAATCGAATTCAAACCTGTGTATATCGTTTGGGAATCTAAGATACATTTATACCACATGATTATGAGATTTTGTTTATTTTGCACTTTTTAATAGATATACACTCGCATCTATAGTCGAGTAGAAGTAATTACGTGCTAACAAATATTTTTAGCAAATAAACAAGAGTTTGAATGAAGTTAGAGCACTCAAAAATAGGATACTATTAGGTATTATTAGCTGCTGATAGTTCTTACTTCTTCATATTCTCGTATATTAACTAAAAATGTAATTGTTATTATACTCGACTACATAAATACGGCAAAATAATATTAACTAGAGAGTAAATATATGTAAAACGTAAGAAGATTATTCCGAAAGAAATTTATTAATAAAAATACGAGTACATCAAATAGAATACAGACTCTTTTGATCTATTATAAAAGAGAGAGAGAAAATTAAAAATTGATTTAAATGGAACTAAAGTATCGTAAGTAATAAAATTATAGAAATTAAGTATTTATTTTTATTCAGGTATTTTAAAAAATACCTATTTTGTTCCTCATTATAAGTTAGCGAAGTTCTTTTTGTCGATAATTAAGCTCATACGTAAAAGAGGGGAAGGGGAGTGTTTACCAATGATTAGAATAGAATACGTTTTTATTGACAGCACACAACACATACACAATTAAGAGCATGATTGTTTACGATAAAACTTATAATAAACATATTACAAACAAACAATAGTTTAAAAGACAAACAGTCAGTTACACAAACGTCCATTAAAACTTTCATTAGTTTAATGAAATATTACCGGTACAAATTTGACGTTCATTAAATCTTAAAAGCATCATGAAAACGTAATGGACATTTGTGCAACAGACCGAAAAAAATGAACAGAACATGGTGCCTGTTGCCAAGCTGACATTAGATGACATCGTAACTTTAACCGCCCAAGCTTCGCTGAGTAAAGATATTGTTTTACTATGCTAATAAAGAGAAAGTGCAACGCATTCCGCAGTCAAAGTTAGCATGACAAACATCGTCAAATTGGACACAAATCTAAACTTAAATTACTATTGTAGTGCTATCCAGACTTAGTATAAAATGCCAATTTAACAAAAGCCGTTTATGGCTTTCCTTCCACGTTAAGAAAGGGGGAGTCTCACAAATATGACCAGCACGTGTAGCATGACAAACTCAAGAAACGCTTTGTCTACACCCAAATGTCACTTTCTCGGGTCGAGAGTGAGGTGTTGTATGAGCGCACCCGAGAAAAGGGACATTTGAGTGTAAATAAAACTTTCTCGAGTACGTCATGCTACGCATGCAGCTAAGATGAAAACAGATCACAGGAAATCAATAAATATATGTGACGTGATTAATAAATGGTCCTTCTAGCGCACTCACCAGTATTAGAGCAAACAGCGGCAGCGGCGCATGATATGTTGCCATGAGTGTACCAGCGCCGAGGCACACGGTGACCAGCACAGAGCCTGCCAGCGCCAGCGCTTCCCATTCCGGCGCCGCGGGCAGAAGCGCCAGCGCTAGCACTATTGACAGCACAAACGCTATCACTGATAGCGTCGCTATTAACGTCACTTGTGATGATATATTCTGAAACAATAATTTGTAATTAGATTTTTTCAAATAAACCTATCTACATTTCATGATGTATTTAAAATACTTTGGAGACTAAAGACTGTAAGCTCTTCCTATTCGTCTGTTTATAAGCGAACAGTGCGGAAAGGTCCGCTGTATTCGCGCATCGCTTACCATAATTAGGGCCATTGGAGGGTTTTAATTGTTATGCCTCTGCTTTTTGACTAGTCTCAATTCTTCACATAAACCAAAAAACTATCCAAATCTAAATATATAATCACAAGCTTTCCGCTAGCGGCTTCGCCCGCACGGCTACTTGCTGATTCGACAGTACATTGATCTCTAGTTTATAAGTTAATTCAAGCTTATACATAATTGTCTGTTAAACAACTGAAGTGGATTGAAAAAAATACCATATTGCGTCAATATATTTGTTCGGTAGTTTTTTGCGCAAAATAGTAACAAACGTAATATTATTAGTAGGATAAAGTTTCACTTTATCCACAATGCATATCTCCAATATAGATACGTGATATAAATTACATTATTGTTATCATTTCTTACGCACCGAAACGTGATATTGGATAATAGAATAAGGAACCACAACTGCCGAGTCATACGGAAACTGAAGCGGCGTTTATACTCGTAACGGGAAAGAATATTTTCCCTGTCATATTGAACTTAGGTGGTTGAGATGCTGATGCAGTGAAGTTCTGAAGCACATTAATAGCAAAAAGTGCTTTATTGGCTATTATTTTTTAAGTTATATAAGAATTATAATGTTGGAATTTTTACGAAATCAGAGATCAGAAAGATGGTAATTCTCTCAGAGATTTATGAATCATGTACGAACGATCCGTGAACATTTGCTTTCTATTTAAAATATCATATTATCAATTTTTAATACTATTTTTCTTTTGATTTTTTTTTATTATATTGATAATCGAATTTTTCATTTTTAGGTATATTGACAAAAACGATAATCGACCTCCGTGTAAATAGGATAATAAACATACAAGTACTCCGTGTAAATACACTAAGAAACTGAGTAATATTAAAAATAATAATAATAGTGTATGATTTCACACGGAAGTCGATTACTTAACTCACACACACACACACACACATACACACACACACACACACACACACACACACACACACACACACACACACACACACACACACACGCGTACGCGTTCACACATATATGTATAGACTCAAATATAGATATCTCCTCATAAAATGGGGACATTTTAACTGCATTCTCTTTCGTTTTGGTTCTTCATTTATGTTATATTTTATCTGTGGGGAGATCCTGGTGACCTGACACACAGGTTTCTACTGAAACCAATTTCGGGCTCCAGTCTCTCACAAAATTAAGATACAAAATGTTTTTAAGAATCTTAAGACTCACATGTATGTACATAATTTTGTGTTGAGAGAATAAATGATTATTATATTATTATTATTACCGTTTTTGTCAATTCTCATTCAATACAAAAATATCCTTAATACAATTAATAAAACATGAAGTTTTGTTGTAATTTTTATTCCTTTCAATCTAATAGGTAACAATTTTTATATTAAGCTGGCAACATACATTTATTATTAGTATATAAATAGTGGTAAAAGGCGACTTCTTAAATATCACCTTCATAGCAATATCCTGTGCGAAAACAATCTACTATACTCGCAGGTGTCTCCATGCTATATTTAACATATAATACTTAATAATTTACTGGCACGAGTGTCGCCAAGTTGTATGTTTCTTCATAACAAACATATGTACTTTGAGTTCATCACGTATGCCAATAAATTTCTTGGTACATATGTACATAACTTTTAAGAGTATTGTGTTTACTGTAGAAAAGTTTTTAAGCTCGTTTAATATTTAAGACTTTGATATTGTACAGAATAATAATTTAAAGGAAAACATTTGCTAATATCCAACGAAAATCAAGAAACTTGGGAGTTTCTTAATAGAACGAGATGTTGGGTTTTTGTTAGTTTTTTTTTTCTTGGAATCAAGTTTCTTTTATCAAGTGTTATTTCATAAATAAGGTGCTGTGAAAATGGAATAACTGTGATATCAATTCGCAAATATAGTGCGACAGAAGTTATATGTAACCAGTAAGAAGTTTAGAGATAATAGCATTTCTCTCCCTGAGTTTTTCTTGTTTATTTCATTAGTTTTCCTATTAAAATACGCAAAAGGCAAAGTACTAACGTTATCTATAAAAAAACGTTTGTTTGTTATTTTTTGGGAGCCAACCTAAATATTAATTTTATTGTGTTTTTTCTTTCCGTTAGATTTTACACCATCGAGAAAATATCGTAATAATTATCTATCTATTACAATTCACGAGATACAGACAGACAGCAGAGTCTCAACAATAGGGTCCCGTTTTTACCCTTTGGGTATGGAAACCTAAAAGAAAATTATCAATAATTTATTAATAAAATATGCCCTTATTTAGTTAGATGTGGCTACCCTACTAATGGCCCGTAGCCGTAGATTTGTAGACGTCTGGACCTGGCTATGAACAACTGAGCTCCGTTATCGTCAGCTGCGGTTGACTCATTTATTTTAAAATCTCCCTCAGTTTCTGAACACTAATGTACTTTCTTGTTTTAAAAGTACCTGCGCAGTATTTAGGAAGAGTAATGATAAAATGGGTATAGATCCCTTATATAAATTTTACCACTTGTAAGCAAAGATTTTTCTTAACCAAACACATTGAATAAATATACATTAGACAATATTATATAATATTAGCTAAAGCTAATAAGTATTATAGAAATTTGAAACAACGAAGACCATAGAAAGAGGTTTTTTCTATACTGACGTAAACTATAATCGAACCCAACACCTCACAGAAGGCAAAACTGAACCGGCACAAGCCACTCGGCCTTGGCGGTTTTCATATACTAATATTATAAAAAGGAATGATTTGATTTTTTTTGATCGAACTCCGATACTACTACACCGACTTTAAAAATTCTAACATGAAATATACAAGAAGAACATACGTACTTACACATGCATAAGAGCAATGGTGTAATATTAGGTATCAAACATTTTTTATATATATAACAAAAACTTTATTGACTCTAATAATAATTTCTCAAACTCAAACGTGTATTTTTGAAATACAAAAAAGCAATAATTTGAGCTCTATTGCAATTTTATAATTATTATAAAAAGTTTTTACCTCCAGACTGATTATTAAGGACATTAAAAAAAGGAAATCTTATGTAAAGAGTCAAGACAATGTATACAAAAAAAATTTTTTTTTTTTTGAGATAAACAAAAGGAATATTTTCCGTGCCAAACTTCTCCAAATCCTTTAAGCAAGCGGTCCTTTATTATTACCTTAACTTTGTTAAGAACGAGGAAAAATGACATCGTTTTTTTTTTGTTTAAGCGAACTTTCTTCTAAGAGAATTGTGTCTTTAGAATTTTGTACAATGACGAAAGCTTTAAATCAAAAACTTCTTTATCTGGCATTGGTGCCAATTCTATTTGACCACTCTCTAAACTAAACTTAAAAAAAAAAAAACTAAAATATCATTAACGTAATTCTATTATCACAAGCAATTTAGAAAATCTATACAAAATTCATAAAAAGGTAAAGTTCCTGACTTTATTTTTTTGTGGTTGTAAACTTCGAATATACTAATCCTTTCATCTATATATCGTCTATGAAGAGTCAATAAATAATAACTGCAAAAATGCAACTTTTCAGGAGACGAAAGAAACGTTTCAAATCTATTATATAGGTTTTTTCAGTACATTGCAATTATTGTTTATCTTACAAAAAAATAAGAAACGAACCCAAAATCTTTGTCACTATTGTGTAGTAATCTATTTTACAACGAATAATATATAAAATAATACAATAAAACAAAAATTGACAAAATATCAGTTATTATTTATTGACTCATCATGGGCGATATGTAAGAAACGAGTGAATGATGAAATAGTTGCTAGTCAAGAAGTGAAGAAGAAGTATAGAATAAATATTGCGCCGGCCACAAATAAATTATTACGACAAATGCAAGCCAATGATGATGATAATGAAGAATACTATTCACTCTGCTCAAATAAACCAAATTCTGCATTCAATTATGCATGTTTAAATTCAATTTATTTAATTGAAATAAAAAACACAGATAAATAGTAAGACTTTACTACCATAGACAGAAAATATCAACCACTGATTGCTTCAAATAAGATACCTAATACGTTTTCTACTTTATTACACCACGGTTGTGCAAAATCCCTATTTCCAAGATATGACTTTCACATTAGCATTACTAAAGAGTAAGGGGTTTATTTAAATACCAGTATTGTTTATTTCTATATTACCATCCCTACAATTATTAACATCATTTATGTCTGTAACATTATTTTAAACTTACAATATAACAATAATTAATAGTTCATATTATTAAAATAAAAGAAAATTATGATGTATACAAATAGTTTATGATGTATAACCCATCATTTTCTTTATACAATAACTCATATTTTTCGTGATACTATCACGATTTAGGTTGATATTATTTCTTCACTTTATTCAAATGTTTTTCTTTGGGTTTGTTATTTTACTTGTGCTACATTGATTCTTGCCAAATAAGATTCAAAGCTAGGGATAAATATCTCAAGGATGCTATTTAAACGGTCAAATCTTTTGATTCTTTCGATTTTTTTTGCAGATTGCACTATTGAATATTAATATCAATTTGATAATTTACAGTTTCGAATAAAAAAATTTCTCGACAAGACAGACAGACGACGGACTATGTAGTAATCCTGTTGGTGTATTAATGTTTTTTTTTTTAAGAAACGGTATCCTAAAAACTAAGTACACCAGTCGATCGCTCCGTTCCGGAATGAAAGAAAAACAAACGAACGAAATATTTGAATAACACTTTTGTTTGCTTACCTTCAATATTATTTACAATACATTTATTGAAGGTGACTCTAAAAACATAAAACAGAGCACAGAAATATATCAAGAATTCATTTTTGTGACACGGAACAAAATCGCAGGCTCTATCGATGAGGAAGACAGAGAAAGAAGATAGTATATTGCGCGAAAGATGCCATTAATAATATTATACGATTAATTACACTAAAACCTCGATGGAGCGCTATAGGGCAATGGTTAGCGCGTTCGGTCTGCAATGCGGATGGTAATCAACTTTCGCAATGGCCAGTTATTAAATGGATGGCTAATATCTAAAGCTTCTCCGTTTCTCCGTGCTTTGGAAGGCAGTTGGGCCGTTGGTCCCGGCTGAATTTTTGTGATGATTGTTCAAAGTTATTTCCCGGACAAATTAAAGTTTCCAGTGATCTCGATTTAAATAAGAGGATAAACGTAATGTTAACAACTTAAGGCCTATAACA